CTTGGCGTTAGTGCTCTGTGTCAGCTGTTCTCGCGAGCGATGTTACGGCCAGCGTTGGTTTTTGGTGCAATGCCGTTTGCTATCTTTGAGTGTGTGGGGTTGAGGGAATCGGCGGCGGCTGTGGCGGAGACAGCGGCAGCGGCGGTGGCGAGGGCCTAGCCTGAGGGGGAGGGGGTGGGGGAGGGGATGAGGAACGGTGAGGGCGGCTGGGGCGGCCGGGAAGGCAACACAGGCGAGGCGCGGCGCACCTCAAACTCGAGCGAGTAGCGGGAATATCACCCGCTGCTCCGGCGGGAGATTGCTCCCCCGCCGCCCCCTGGGTCACCCCGAGTGACCTCGCAGCCCACGCCGTGAGGCGCTGCTGTCAGAGGGGTTTATCACCGCCGTATCCACCCCACACTGGCCGCCGAGGGGCCCGGCGGGCTGAGGCGCGCGAGGCGGCTTTTGCTCCCGCGGGGCGGCTCTACCCGTCTCAGCACGGCGTCCCGAGGTGTAGCCGTGTACCTGGCGGCAGGGCCATCACTCACGCGCCTACTCGCGGCACGAGGGAAGGTGTGACGCGACCGCGAGAGGCGAGATGGGTGATGGCGAGACAGTCGTTTGGCCCGTTTGAGGCTGAAAGGATGACCGCGGACGATGAGGGCGACGATTCATCGCGGCTACTGAGCAGGCAAGGTCCGGACCTACAGGATGGAGGGGCGAGTAGTGAGACTCGGGACCATGTCTTCGCGTCGAGAGACGAAAATCCGGATTCTTGGCCGCCGGCCGCCGCCGGCCGCCGAGCGGACACTAGGGAACTGCGCGACGACGACGACATTTCTGAGGTGGAGCGTTCACCACCGCCCTTCCAATGGAGTTTGCCGGTCGGGGGGGCGTCGGCAGCGCCGCCGTTCCGCGCGGATGTTGCAAACGGTGGCTCGGGGCACCTATTTCGGCAGCCCCGGGGCGGGAGCCGAGGAGGGGCAGCCGTTGCGGTTGCGCCATCGCAGCTCGGCGGCGCGTGGGGAGCCGAGCGGCTCCCAGCGATCCCGCGAGAGAAGGGCCCGCATCCGTCCCGGATGCCGCGCCCACGCTGCCCGACGCAAGCGCCAGATGGGAGAGGAGGTTGGCAGCCTTTCTGCGCTTCGAGGTGCAAGAGAGAACTTGTCTCCGCTTCGCATTTAGCGGGAGGAAGCCAGGTGGGGCTTAGCCCAATGTGCGCGTGGTTTTAACCACGTAGTATGACTACAGCCCACTACAGACACCCTCCCTCTCCACACACGTGTGCACACTCCCTCACCCTCTCCTCTCTCCTCTCTCTCTCTCTCTCTCCTCTCTCTCTCCTTGTCTGCTGTCTGCCTGACTCAGGCACTAATTCTGCCGATGCGTGATTGTGTGTGGGCTGCTCCGAGGTGGCCCTGTGCGATCCGACGGGTAGGGAGTCTGTGCCCGGGCGGTGTCCGGTGCGGAGTCTCTCTCTGATCCCACCTGTGCTGTTGGGTGTGAGGTTGTGGCGGCTTCGATCCCAAGGGGGGGAGCTGATCCCACTCATAACCAACTCTCTCAGGGGCAGTAGGTGGGCGAGCCTCGAGCGCGCTCATCTCGATCGTCAAGGCGTCGCTACGCGCGGTCTTCCGCGGGGGGAGCTTCGTCGACGGGTGCGGGATCGCGGCGCAGTCTGTGCCGTGGCGATGCCTCCGGCTGTTTGCGGTGGGCGGCTTGCTGCTCGCGGCGATGGCGAAAAACTCATCTCGCTGCACACCAAGGGCTTATGCTCTGTCGAGACGTGAGGCGCATGCGCCCAGGAGGGGAGGGCGCATGCGTAACGACGCTGCTAGAGAAATCTAAACGCCTCGCCGTGTCCGTGCCGCTCCTCCCACCCACCAGCCACTCACCACTCCTCAGTGTGCCACCACGCACGTTCCCACAGCAGGCCGGAGAGGCTGGCGCGCACGTGTCCGAGCGCGCGTGAACACACCGCTACTGCTCCACCGTGACGACGATGGGCTGGAGCTTTGATAGCGGCAGCTCGGCGGCCAAAAACCCCTCATAATCTTCCGGCGAGAAGCGCGTCACCACAACGACGCCAAAGTCCTTGTGGACGTAGTGCATTCTATCCGTGTCGCCATCGCGTGGCAGCGCGCCCGCAAAGCTCTTCCGCCAGTCCACGGGCGCGTCGACGCCGAGGATCTCGCTCACCTTCGCGCAATCGAGCAGCTCCAGCGGCAAGCAGTCTGGCCGGCTAAACTTGGAGGTGAATGGCGGAGCTGCGTTGGCGCACAGGACGATAAGATGGCACCCGCGGTGCATTGCCAGCGTAACCTTCCGGCGCGCCTGCTCCTGCGCCTCCTCGAGCGTGACAGTCTTCTTGAGGTTCACCTCGACCACCATCTTCTTCAACTCGAGCAGCT